TTATCTAATACTTTGTACAAAAGCCTTTGTTGTCAATGACAATGTTTTATTCTTTGGCATTTAATTGATGTATTGTTTTTGCTCTGTTTTGTCATTTGTGTTGTTCTTGTACAGCACTTTGGTACAGCTTTATGCATGTTGTAAAGTGCTATATAAATAAATTTGACATTGACATTGACATTAAATCATGACTTAAAAACCTGGGTCAAAGTATCTGATTTTTTTCCCCCTGGCTTTAAATGGTAAATATTTTTAGCTTTTTAGGTAGTCCAATATTTTTGTCATTTAGTATTTTACTAGTTTTTTATATTCTGGTTTTCTCTAAGTTTTTCCGCAGCACTTTGGTCAAACTCCAGTTGTTTTAAATGTGTTTTATAAATAAAGTTTATATAATTTGATTACGAGTTGATGTGGTGATAGCCGAGTATTATCCTAACACATCCCATTTAACAGGCCCAGTTCTGGCCCACACAACACTCAGCTCAGATAAAGCAAAGAATGACGGCCCTTTGGTCACATGTGGTTTGCCAGAGGTGGTCCATGCATGGGCCAGCACCACATAAACCAAACCAGAACCAGGCCAGTTGTGGCGTTAACTGATTTGGGCCACATAAACCAAAACACAACTGGGCCAGTTGTGGCATGCTATTTAAAAAAACATTGCCATATTTGCCAGACTTGATCTACATCTGTGGGCTATGTGGGATACTTTTCTGTCACACTAAAATGTTTAAGATAATTTGTGCCAACTTATGAAAATTATTCTTACAGGTTATACATTCGAGCTAATTGTCATTATGACAGTATGTACTGTAAAYGTCTAAAAGAGGATTCCAGTAGATTTCTAAAGTTTCAGTCTTCATCATAAACATTTTTAGTGTTGTTAGCCTTATCAGACAAAATCTTGCAATATCACATGAGACCGTGCATAAAGTTATTTTTGAGGTTTAACCAAAGCAACTCTAACTCAGATGATCTCAGTCTAAAACTCGGGCAAAGGCGTTCCTCAAAGAAACACTGTCTTTAGTCTTTTTTCTTTATATGTGTTGTTATTTTGTTACTGCTGAATTTAAATATCAGACATTGCACAGCATTTTGGACAGCTAAAGTACAGCTGGCGCCAGTGTTCCTGTATCATTTTTTTACTGCAGCAGAGCAGAAAAAACTAAAACAGCTGTATCCATCTGCTGCTTTGCCTCTAATCCGACTGCCTGTGTAATCCAGGAGAGACATTTATAGCCAGAATGTCCCTGGATTCAGTCAAACAACTATGCATTATGTAGCAAATGATCCTTAATAATGATTGTTGGTGAGTCACGCTCATTCATTTTGTTCACCAAGAACAGACATCAAGGGGAAAATATTTGATCCATAATCAAGTTGTGTATAAGGAATACTACTTCGAGCTCACAACACATCTAAGACAATTTTCCTGATTTGCCACAACCACTGCTGTTCTTAAAAGGTTAAAACAGTGTGAAATAGAAAGCTACAGGTGACCTTTGACCTCCACTGAGAGTTTACTAACACGCGATGCATCAATGTTGTGTTATTATATGTTAGATCACATGTGACACACTCAAGGCCCACAGGCCAAGAGCTACAAAGATGTATTTAAAATAAGCATATACCGCTTCAAAGCCAGTATTGACCATAAATTACATCTCCCACAATACATGTTGATTATGTTACCTGCGTAATGGCGGCATCCCACCACTAGGTRGAGGTGCACAGGGTTCAAAAGAAGCCAGCAGCCGGCAAATTCACCGTGTGAAACTGTCATTTCGCTACATTTTTACAGGTACTTTTGTCAGTTGAACTGGGAAGTGGGAATTTTCTAGTACAACTCCCAGAATTTCCTACTTTCAAGTCATAAATTTAAACTGGAACACCCCTCCAGTGGTAATTCCCAGTGGGAAAATAGGAGAGTTCAGAATTCAAGATTGCAGCTACTCACCACAACTCATCCCTGAGTAAAACTCTCTTACTTTTACTTTTAATAGTATTTCTGTATTATTTATTTCACATTTAGTCAGTCGTACACGTGTTTACAAGAGGACATGTTAAAATGCTGTTTCTATGCAGGAAATACCACATAGAGCTCAGTTATTGTTTATGAGAGGTGTTCAGCTGAAGCAATGAGATGAGGAGCGAGACGTTTTGTGTTTAGTTAAACATGAAACACTGAAGTTGATTACAACTGGCCCTTTGAGGGCCACCATAACGCTCATGTGCTCAAATGAGTTTGACACGCCTGTGTTGGATGATAACATTAATCTTTCCCTGTCGTCTCATACTCACGCTGAGTAGGTCCGGGTGCGTTTGGTTGGCAGTGGGCTCGGCAGKTCCCGTGGAAGGGGAGGCTCCTGTCCTTCCTCCCACAGCCGGCTCCCCTCCCTCGGGAAGGGGAAAGAGAGGCTGAGAGGGGTGTGTGGGGAGCGCAGCGGGGTCCTGGAGGGCGATGTGAGATTTGGATCCGTCATGTTRAACGATTAAGAGATGACGGGCCGAGAAGGAGGAGGATGCTCTGAGCCGACTGTGGTAACTGCTCCTCAGGCGACTGATGTTCTCCTGTCTGTCCTCTGCTCTCTGCTCGGAGGGGACACACCACACTGTGGACACGCAGCCGGTAACCAGSCCAGCGCTGTCACTTCAAGTCTGTCAAGAAGATTTGCTGTGAGGGGGAAAAGAGGCCACAAAGAGAGAACAGAAGAGATCAAGGAGCTGTTGACTGGAAGGCAGAGGGATGTTGTTGGAAGAAATAAAAAGAATACAAACCATAAATACAAGGTGAGTCCAAAGCCTCAGGACACCCAATACACTCGATAAATAATTGGTGAGGGGGGCAGTCTTTTAGACTATGTCCAGAACATGGCTGCTGTCTTGAAAGTTGCCATATTGGATCAATTTTTTTTTCCAATGGGAAGGGAGTCATGCATCAAAGAAGACCAAATTTGTCTCAGAAATGGTTTGCTGCAATAAGATGTGCAATATCTCTTAAGGTTGTAAGGTTTTCCTTTTCATTTCTAAAATAAAAGTGTGTCCTGRTACTTTTGACTCACCCTGTAAAGAAGAGAGCATGTCTTTAAATGTATTGTGAGACACAGACACTTTATCCAGTATCATGTACCTCAGCTAGAAAATGTCCATAAAACTAAAAGGTGCAACATGTCAGTGTTGATCAACCATAACATTATGATCACTGATGAGTAAAGTAACCCTGATAATGTTGTTCAAATGTAATGTTTTGATTTTTAAAAATGTCTTTCTGGCTTCCAAGTGTACGTGACTCATTTAAATGTTTTTGCAAACCAAAAACGGCCTTACATATTTACCATTACTACTCTCAGACTTTAGCAGCATTTTTACAGCCGTGAAATGTGCAAAAACAACTTAAAGGGACRGTTCAGATCATTTAAAGTGGAGTTCTGCAGAAAAAATACAAGCATTTATTATCTGTTATGGGTTGACCTTTTAATGAACTCACTTTAGAAAAAGGGGGAGAAATCTGACCCGAATGAAGAATTTGGCTTAGTCACAGTTATTTTTCACAGGTAGCAAACCTACAAGCTAGCAAAAATTATAAATAGCAATCTACGTTTTTT